CAAATGGTGCACGGATACAAAGGACTAGTGGGACAAAAGGTGCACGGACTCGCACGGTCTTGGCTACTCCGCCATGCATGCGGACAAGGGTCGCACGGCAAATAAGGGCGCACGGATTGCAAGGTAAAAGCTGGGCGCGGATTAACACGCCTTGGACACTCCGCCACCTACACGGACGAGGAAAAGCGTACGGACTTCAAGGCTTGTGCACACGCCTCGGATACTCCGTCCCTTGGCACGCGCGCGGATGCTCTCGGATGAACACACACACACACGGCGCTCGCACGGCAATGGCACATGACTTGGAAATAAAACCGAACACTAATGCTAATCTCGTGATTAAATAAAATTAATCACTTAATCATGTTTAATTATCCAATTAAACATAATGCTAAATTACCAAAATTATTTCGAACGTAAACGGTACGTCGAAAATAGTTCCGGTAATTTCGACTGAAATAACTGAAAATAAATACTTCCGAAAAATAATATCGGAACTGAAATATTATTATACTGATAAAAGTCGGGATATTACAGAATTTTTCAAAAGGAGAGAACTCTAAGCAACATTAACTAACTTCTACCTCTCTTTTTTTTTTCGAAACGACATATATTATATATAATCAGAAAATGTACAGAAGTGCGGCCATAGGCTGAATACAAATAGCTAACAGCTGAATATGAACAGCCAACAGCCGAAAAGTGGGAGAACGGTCCTAGACCGCCTAGAGCCGACCCCAACGGGGTAATACTCACAACACACATAACTACCAAAAGAAAAGACCCCCACAGGGTAATACCCGAGTGTCTGCTCCCAACAGAAGAATAAATTTGACACTCAGGCTCACAGGAGCCAACGGCTCAAACCAAAAACACAGTTCCTAATACAACACAGTTCCTAATACAACACAACACAAACAACACAAAAAAGCACAAAACACAAACAATTAATACTCTAAAACACCCTTCCCCAGCAAATAAGATGGATCGAAACCAGTAGAGCAACGATCAATCCAAGTAAGATACGAAATCCCGATGTCAACTTTCAAAACTGCTGCTGAACGCCTATACAGAAGGTAACCCCGATTTAACCAGAATTAACCCACCCTCAACCGAGCGGACAACCCCAGACAACAACTGCAACCGGCCCATCTAGCTCACAACACCAAAGAACCGGATCGACAGAAGCTCTCCAAGCCGACTACTCCTGCTCCCCGATAGAGGTCGAGGCGCCGAAGTCCCTTCCATCCTCCGACCAACCTGCCTCCCAACGTCCCGCCAGCCGCTGATAACCCAAGCTGAAGCCCCAAAAGTCCGAACCCAAAAATCCAACCTGAAAACGATCAGATGAACCTCCAAGCTTCGACTCCAAAAACTAGAGTGATGAATCACCAATCGAAGCCAATCGACAGCCACAGAGGGAAGTAATTAGCCATCGACCGGGGCTCACCCACAAGAGCACGCCAGAGGACCGCCACAACGAAGAATCCAGTAAAAATGACTGCTCCCCCACCTTGTCGGTATCAGAAACTGTGAAGACCGGAATTTGGGGTTGAACCGCCATCATCCCAGCGCAGAAGAACACCTCCAATCGGCGCGCCCAACGAGCCCGGCTAGGCTATCATCGCCGCAGAATTAAAGAGACAAGATGTCGGGGATGACCGAGCGATCTTGGGCGACCACTGGCCCTATCCGCACCTTCTCCGGAGAAGGCTAACCGACGACAATTAAAACTAGGTTTTGATGTCGGGAGAAGAGAGAGAGGAAGGTTCGGGAGAAGACTAGTATGTTAACTACTACCTCTTATTCTTTTTAAATGTCATTTTGGCATTATCAATTTTTTACAAAATAAATGTTGTTTTGGATATTTTGTACATATTTTTCCATGAGTAATGCTATAAGTACATAATGTTGTACATAAGATTGTACATAACACTCACATTGAGTGGAACCCACCAAAAATAAAAAGAAAAATGCTAGAAGTACATAGTAAATGTACAGAGGTGTACATAACACTCACATGGAGTGAGGTTCATTTGATTTTTTAATTTTGGTAGGTCTTACTAAATGTGAGTGTTATATACACCCCTATGTACAATATTATGTACCTATAGCATTACTAAAAAAAAAAAAATCAAGTGGACCCCACTCCATGTGAGTGTTATGTACACCTCTATGTACATTTATTATGTACTTGTAGCATTTTTCTTTTTTTCATTATTACCATCATCTAGCTAATAAATACACTACGTCTTTTCATATTCACTCATCATATTTTCTCAAAACATTCATCTCTATCCTCATTAATGGGGGTTATTATTTGCAAAATTATTCTTAATTAACCATGCAACTTCTCAAAACGACACTTATTATGATGAATATGAGAGAGTATTATTTTCGGTTCTGGTGATTTATAACGGTTCGACATTAGTCCTCTCTATTGTCTATTTGGGAGCTCATTGCTATGGTTTCATATATAGTGGGTTCATAGATAAAAGAACATAATAGGAGGGGGCAAATTGCAATTCTCCTTGCAATAGAAAATCAGAAATGTTTTTTTAACCCATACTCGATCCAGGATTGAACCAGCAAGAGCTCTTTGTGGTGATAGTTGTTGATCGAATTCATCATGATCTCTCAGTTCTTCGTGCTTTCACAGAGAGGCGATAACATCGTCTTTCGAGACTGTAAGCTCCCTTAGTTTTACACCTTACTGTTTTGAGATGATGCTGAAATTCTGTACACTTTCCCAATTTATTTTTACATCGAACTTGCTGGATTTTCATTCAGTAGGGCTTGCTCAGTGAAGATGACTTTACTCGTGTTCTTCTTTTTTCTAGACGTGGTCCGATTTTTTATTTTGTTCTTTTATCTTTTAGGTTGAGCATTGTCGATTTTTCATTTGTTTGTAGATCTGTAATGTTGACATTGCATCAGAACGGCGTCACCGTTGCTAAATCTAGTGATAGAAACTGCATAAACAATTGTTGGTCGTTTGTGGTGTCAAGACTTTCTACTGAGCATGTGTGGATTACTGTTATTCGTGAATGGGAGTATAGTAAACTGATGGCAATCAGTCTTCCTCTTAAAACCCCAAAATTGTTGGAATCAAAATGATCTGTCAACTTTGACTGATTTCATTTTGGTGGAGAATGATAGATTGTATTGCAAGTCTTCCCTATTTTATTCCTTCTCGGACACCTAATGTGACACAATTATTCAGATCGTGGAGATGTACAGAAAGGAAGTGCGGAAATATTTTTCCGCAAAGTGAAGTTCTGGAAAGAAGATGGCAAAGAGGAAGCACCTCCTGTATTTGTGGGTATTTACAGAAAACGTTTTATTTGATTCTTTCAACACTGTGTTAGCATGATCTTTTCTGGCATTTCCATATTGTTGCATGAAATGTAAACATCAAAGTTTGGTTCTCACTTAGATAATATGTTAATTGGTATTTATCTCTCTGTAAAGAGTGGACTATACATATTGTTGAGAATTTTCACTGTTATCATCAGTTTTTATTTCTTAGAATGACCCGTCATGGGAAATAATCTGTAGATTGAACTAACTTCGCTGAACTTACGTCTTGCACAACAGAATCTAGATGGTGTAAACTACTTTCATGTGAAGGTGGTTGGCCTGCTTTTTGTTGCAACCACAAGGGTCAGCTTGTCCCCTTCCTTAGCTTTGGAGCTTCTGCAGAGAATTGCACGTGTCATCAAAGATTACCTTGGTGTTCTTAGTGAGGAGTCTTTGCGGAAAAATTTTGTTCTTGTGTACGAACTGCTTGATGAAGTTATAGTAAGTATTTCAATGCATTGTCATGTGATATTACATTGGTTTCTGACTGTTATAGCTTGGTAACATCTTTCTAGTTTTTATTCTTTTTCATTAAGGGGTGATATGTATGTCATTATCCATCCTTCATCATCTATATGTTATCATAGACTTATACATGTTATGTATGCGACATATCAACCTATCCACCTTCATGAAAACTGAATTTTTTGTGCTTCTTCTATTGCATCCCATTTAATCAATTCTGGGCATCATTGTATCTATTCATTAATAACATTCTTACTGGTCTGTTCTGTGTGTATTTTACACATCAGGATTTTGGATACGTTCAAACAACATCTACTGAAGTATTGAAGTCTTATGTGTTCAATGAACCGATTGTGGTTGACGCTGCACGCATGCCGCCCCTTGGTCCTGCAGCCCTATTTATGGTATTAAATTGTTTGAAATACATCCACAATAGCATAAGCCTATTTAATGGTTAATTTTCTGTTTGTATTCTTTAATTTGCACTTCGATATGGGCTGATTTAATTATGTTCTATCATGATGAGCATAAGTTTTTTCTTAATGCAGCAAGGAAACAAAAGAATGCCAGGGACAGCTGTTACAAAATCCGTTGTTGCAAATGAACCTGGGGGTAGGAAAAGGGAGGAAATCTTTGTTGATATAATAGAGAAAATAAGCGTCACTTTTAGCTCAAGTGTAAGTGATGGTGTCAAATTTACCTATCCTGTTATTCCAAGTCAGTGGCATTTTTCTACTATTATATTTTGTGTTGGTTTGGAACTTGCTGCAGACAATATTACCTTCTTATTCTTGAAATTAACTTTCTTTGTTTTACTGAAAGTAGCATATTGCTAACCGAGGCTAATGGGTTGGGCTTGTCTTGTGTTGATGAATTCAGTTTAAATGCATCCCAATTCTGGTGGTCTTAAGTGGTAGAATTATGATTTGATTTTCTTTGGGAAATTATGTGGTATTTCTCCCATCTTCCGGCCTACATCCCAAAATGAAAGTTCTATGGAGCATATTTAGTTTTTTGTTAGGAATTTGAGCTGCTAGCGTACCTGGGATGGGGAGAGAATAGGGGTTTAGGGTGGGATTGGATATAGTTGCATTTGAGTTGAAGAAAATTGTCGATGGAAGAAAGTTAGTGAAAGAATTGATAATTTTTTGGATGTAAAATGATGTGATGTAAAGAATAATAAATTTTGATGTGATAGGAAAATAGTAATGACTGGTAGTTATTAATATGTGACTGGATGGATAGTAAAATTTTATAGATAAATGTATAGTAATGATTGGTTTTTAATTTTGAAAATGTATTGAAAAGCATAAGTGGAGAAAAGAGAGAAAAGTGAGATGGGTGGATAGTATAGTTTTTGATTGGTGGGTAAAAAAATGTATTGGAAAATTATTCTTGTCCTTGTTCTATCTACAATAATTATGCATTATTCATGTGACCTTTGGTCATTTTGACAGCGTTGAATATATTTCATATAACGGTTGAATTCAGCCAAGATTGACATGATGCTAAACAGGGGTATGTATTGACTTCTGAAATTGATGGCACCATCCAAATGAAGAGTTATCTAACTGGAAACCCAGAGATCAGATTAGCTCTTAATGATGATCTGTACATTGGAAAGAGTGGCATATCAAATTACGGTATTGACATGGTTTATCTATTCTGCAGTACATGACCTTTTTTTTGTTGTTTTGTTGTTATGTTTTTTTGTGCGTCTGATGTGCCAAATATATTGTGTTTGTGCTAACTGAGAATTTTTGGAGGTCAGTTTCATTAAAATTGAGTGGCAGCCCTGTGCCTTAGCTGTGAATGTTTTTTAAGTTGACAAAATTTGCTTTCTGGTCAGGCTATAGTGGTTCATCTGGGACAGGACCAGTTATTTTGGACGATTGTAATTTTCACGAATCTGTACATATGGATAGTTTTGATGTTGACAGAACACTGAGTCTGGTGAGCGTTGCATGATGTTTACGATCTTTCGCATCAATTTGAAGTCTTCTGCTGCTTTTCTCCGATTAAAATTTAAAATAATGTTTCATTATTTACGTTGGGTTATTAGGTACCACCAGATGGGGAATTTCCTGTCATGAATTATCGTATTACCCAGGAATTCAAACCCCCGTTTTTCGTCAATACCTTAATTGAAGAGGCAGGGACACTGAAGGTTTGTAGTTATCTGAAAACTAAGATAATTTGATGTAAACCTTGTATTAATTTGTGAGAATGTATAAAGGCTTTATTGGCCACTATTTGTATTTCAGTAATAGCAATGAGTGTTTCCAAGATTCTTCCTTTCAACTTCCATTTTTAGTGGCAGCTGCTTCAGCTTGGTTTTTAAGTTTTTATCTCTGAAGCATGGAACTGGCAACCTAATTTTACTTTTTATTTTTCCTTTATTTTTTCTTCCTTTTGTGGGCCATCTTAGGCTGAAGTGATTCTGAAAATCCGTGCTGAGTTTCCTTCAAGTATTACAGCTAACACAATCTTAGTAGAAATGCCATTGCCTGCGTGTACAACCAGGTAAGATTCAGTTTTTACAGTATTTGTTTGTTCTAAAATAAGTTTGTCATTAATTGTTGTCTCGTGTGTTCTTCTGGGACTTCAGTTTTAGCATTTAGATCCTACTATATTTTTCTCCACATGGATAGCTCAAAGCTTTTTGGGGTCAATGATCAGTTCATGAAATTTAGTCAATTAGTGAATTGTAGAGCTTCTAAGTCACTGACGTTCTTGTGGCATCTCAATTGTCAAATCCCTATCGGAATCTAATTATGTTTTCCCAGTTCTTTTTGACATGTATAGAGCAAGGAAGCATTCAGGATGTATATTTTGCTAGCATGTTCAAGATTTCTCTAGACCCCCAAAATTAAAAAAAAAAAAAAAAAAATATCAACCTTATCAAAAGTGTTCGAGATATTCAATATAGTTAGCTTCAAACTGAAGAATCTTTCTACTAAGGGATCGATTACATTCTCATGATATTTTAATTATGTACATGTCTTAGTTTGCTTAAGGACTCACTGCTACATAGTTTCCTGATTTCTTTTTGTTTCACTAATATATGCTGTGATAACACTCCCATCTGGGAATTTGAAATTTGCATTTGGTGCTTGTCTTGCTTCCAGACATTTGGGTCCCCAAAAATTAGAAGTTGAAAAAATATAATAAATAATAATATTTTGTAATAATGAACCTGGAAAATAGTGCATGTTAAAGTAGTTATTAATCTGCTTGGCTCGGGTTATAGGAAATGAACCAAGCATTTATCTTATGCATATGTTTTTGCACTTTGTGTTGCGAAATTCCGAACAATTTATTATCGTCCAATTGAATTTCAGGGTCAATTTTGACTTGGAACGTGGAATAGTTGGGCAGAGTGCTGATTTCAAAGAATCACAAAGAAAACTTGAATGGAGTGTGAAGAAGGCACTTTATCTCTTGCCACTGATCACTTCTGATAACAGATTAATTCTTAAAATCACTTTTGCTGGAATAAAGAAAGGACTAACTTGTGTCTTTTTAACTAACAGATTGTGGGGGGTTCTGAACACACACTACGTGCAAAATTGAATTTTTCACAAGAGTTGCATGGTATGATTCTAGAGTTTCAATAGTTTCATGTCTAATATCCTTGCATGACCATGTATTCTGGTTTTCTGTATTTCTCCTGCAAATCAATCTTTCTGATGTTTCATATTAACTGCTACGTAAAACACAGGAAATATTACAAAGGAAGCTGGGCCAGTGAGCATGACCTTCACAATTCCTATGTATAATCCTTCAAGGCTGCAGGTAAGGCTGTTAAGATTATGATGCCCAAGTGTAGCTTTTTCTTAATCCTATTCTTTCAAAATAAGAGGCAAACCTCCCAAAAAGTTATATGCTGCTTTCTCAGAAGATATCACTGTGGCAGCTATGTTTTTCTTCTGCTCCTTAAAATCCTCCCAAATTCGGGAAAAGGGGGCTCCATTTATCTGTCATAATTTCTCTGGGATGTTTTTGTTCTCCCCATTATACAGTAAAATATCCTTCTAGGAATGATCACGTTGTCAATTGTAATTTGTTACTTTCGTTTTTGTCTTTTTCTTTTGAGAAACTTTGGTTTCATACTCGAGGTACCAAAATGACAAAAATAGTCGTCGAGAAAAGTAAAAACGAACTGTCGAACCTTTAAAGTCAATCACAATGTGATGTCAAAGTATTTTAGGGAGAATGTGCTACCGTATAATTTGATGCCATGAGCATCCTAGTTGTTTTTCCTTTTTTTTTTTTTTTTTTTTTTTTTTTTTTTTTTTTTTTTTTTTTTTTTTTTTTTTTTTTTTTTTGTGACGGCTTGCTCTATGATGTATGGTTTCATTCTAAAGAGTTTCAAACTACCAAAGAAAATATTAACTAAAATGTTTTTACAACCTAAAAAATTTGAAAGTAATAATAATTTTGTTATTATCTTTTTTATGAATATGTGGGAATGAAGGCTGGTGCAATCTGAACATTGAGAAAGGTTGTCATAACGTATATCTTACTACTACGAATAGAAGTAATTGTACGTGTATGATTGTTAGTTTGAAAGCTGTGAATATGAAATTTATGAACATTATATCAACTGAAATGCACCAAATAATTCTACCCACATATGCAACAAACGAAATTCTTTTATTACATTTAATCTCACTAGTAGATACACGAGGTTGTATTATAAATCCATAACATGACATATATTTTAATAATTTTTATTATTTATTGTTTTATCTTGATTAATTTATATTGTTGTAAATTTTACAAAGTTTTACCATTTTTATTTACTACATTCAATGAATAATTGCTAGATTACTCATTTTTCACTTTGTAAACTTCTAACTTTTATGTTATGGATATACTGATTTATTCGTAAATTGAGTATTTCCCGCAATGGTCTCAATTTTTTTTTTTCTTATGCCACGTTTTTTTTTGGGTTAATTGTCAATAAAACCTTGACCTTTTCACTTTTGGCAATTTAATCCAAACTTCT